GGGGGTGGAGGGTGGGGAAACTGAAGCGGGTGCGAGTGGCGGGACGAGCGACTCCGAAAACGAGCTACGCACGTTGCACTGTTGTGGACGAAGGGATAGAAACCGATCAAGTACGGCGGCGNCCGTCCCCCTGCCCCCCCCGCCCCCTCCTCCCCCACGGACACACCCTGTCGGTCTTCTCCTCTCTTTCTCTCTCTCTCTCTCTCTCTCTCTCTCTCTCTCCTTGAGAGTTCTCCTAACTCGCCCCTTAGTACCCCGTACTCCACGCGGTGGTCCACCGACGTTTCGACCCCTTAATTAATATTGCACGCACCCCGGCACACGGCAGGGCTACGTATCCGGCGGCGTTCCCCTTTCTCCTTTCTTCCTCCCGTGTCACGACCGCCGGATATCGTCGCCCGGATAACGAACGGAATCGATCGCCGCGAGTCCGGACCCGAGCTGCTGGATCCGACGATCTCGCGCCGTCGATATAACGTATAAAAAGGGAAAGAAATGGGAAACGGATACGAACGAATATAACAAAGGGTCCGTGTTCTCGTCGAGCCGAGACGGCTCTCGATCGAGCGGACCCTCGGGGGGTTGGGGGGATGATCCGTGTTGCCCCTGGAACGAGGCCAATCCTCCGATCACGATGCGCTCGAAGCGCATCTCCGCGACTTTCTCTTCACCTCCTTCTCCCCCATTTTCTTCTATCTCCTCCCCTCCTATGTACTTGTCGCTCGAACGTGAACGTTACAAATATTATATAATTACGTGTATACGTACGGGGGGGTACGTATATACATATACAAATTATGCTTAGCGTTATTATTCGTGCGCGTCCGCAATCGAGGCGGCGCGCTCGATCCACGGTCGGACGCACCCTGTGTGTATCCTCGATCTCTCGTCCTCCGCAGCCGGAGGATCCACTCTCCGCGAATCAACAAGTCACTCACTCACACACACACACACACTCTCTCTCTCTCTCTCTCTTTTACACTACAGAGATTCATGTCATTATTATTCCCTAGTCGATACTTTAATCGTTTTAGCATTACGTTACTAATTATGTTATAGAACTATCAATCAACGCCCTACCGCGAACCGTCTCGTTCGCGTTCGCCGGGCGGCGCCATTCCGGTTACCATCCGCTCGCCCCCCGTGGGGTTCGCGACCGCCGGACGTCCGCCCGACCCTGCACTTCGTCTTGAGCTGAGAACATTCAGGCGCCGCGCCCCGAGGAGAAGTACCTGCGTTTCCCCCGCGGGCGCGACGAAACGCACATGTATATATTACGCTATTTAAATAATAGTCAGTCCTCGACCCCTCGCCTCGACTTCCGCTCGTTCCTGGGAACTTCCGACTCGCCTCTCCTGTAGAAGTGACCGTCGAGTGCCGAAAAATGAGAGTTGGAAGTTATTTCGTTTTCTTCTTCCATCTTCTTTTTTTTTGGTATTTTTTCATTGTAGTCTTCGTGTAGGCCAACGAAGTTTTCGGCGTCCATACGGGCGCGATCGCGTTAGAATCTTCCTTCCTGTCTCGTTCGACCTCGTTAATCTTCATCACGACTAGTTGTGCCCTGCCGTCACGTCTTTTAGGTGGTTTCGAAGATTATACTCTTCTTGAGGCCCTTGCGAGGAAACCGAGCCGCAGTCTGGTCGCGGGACGCCTCTCCCTCCGAATAGCTGTTTGAACCCCAATTTAACGGTGCATCGTCATTTTAGCCTGAGACCTCGTTTTGTTTTTATTCAGTAACTCTTTATAAAATCGTAGTAATGGATATTAGAAAATAATAATTCCTTTAAGCTGTACACGATCTTCAGTTATGTATTTTGTCGCATTCGCTGAGCCGCCTGTGATAAGCGCGTCGATTACAAATTTAAGGGAAGCCAGTGCCGATTGTTCACTGCCGATACCTAATCGACGGCTTATGGAAGCAATCGTTATACTGTCGTAACGTACTCACGCAGCTCGGGCGACTCGGACCTCAACCAAGGATCGTCGTACTTGGACACTTCCTCGCTGCGAGTTCTACCGGGCGGTTTGGGACGCTCGCGTGGTTGAATGCGCGGTCCCTCTTCGCTCAACGATCTCTTCGTTGCATCTATATGCTTGGGCACCTCGAGCAGGGCTATGGATCTGGTCAGCTGGGGCCTCTGTCGTTTCGACTCCTCGCTAGCAGCGCGTATTATTACCGTCGGCGGGGGATGCCCGGCCTGGGGCAGTCTGTCCTCCAGAGGATTGGAAGGGAGCGATGTTTTCGCCCTGAACGCACCCTTGCGGGTGAGCCGGGGCCTGCGCCCCTTTGGCGAGAACTCCGGCGAGTATTCCGGCGGTTGTACGATCTCCGTGTGGCGGAGACTCTTCCGCTTGGCGGTGGGCGTGGTAGGCACCCTTGGCGACCAAATCGGAGGCGACAGGTCCTCCGGCGTGGTCTTCTTCGGCGGCGTCTTCTCCGGCGACTCGTCCTTCCAGCCGCCCTGATAGAGCGGGAACGGCGTTGGGACCTGGTTGAGGATCTTCCACCGGAACTCCTCGTCGTCGCTCTTGGTGGGCGTTGCCGGCTCCGGCGGCGGACAGTGCGTAGGCGTGACGTTGTGGAAGGGTGACCATTTCTTGTCTTCGATTACCTCGACTGGGATATCGCTCGGCGACTCGTCGTACGGCGTCCACTTGATCTCGCTGATGTGCTTCTGCTCGCGCTTCTTTATCCCGATCGTCGGTAACGGCGACGAGTCCTCGTACGGTGCCCACTTGGTGCTGGTGATGGTGATCTCCGGGGAGATGAGACGTCGCACAATCCTGTTCTCCAGCTTGTTCATCTGTCGTGGATCCGGCTCCGGCGACATGCTCCTTCGTATGCTGTACTTGGGCCGTTCGCGCAGACTCTTGCTCTTCGGCTCGTCCTGACTCCTGTACCACTTGGACGGCTTCTTCTCGGCGGGCAGAGAGACGTGCGGTTTCATGGCCCACCTTGCTCGTATCGGCTTCTTGCTCTCCACCGGGCTTATGACCTTCTCCTTCTCCTTCTCCTTCTCCTTGTTCTTGTCTTTATCCCTAGCGGAGAAGCCCCATCTCCTCGAACTTTCGCTTCTCACTTGCGCCGAACGCTCCAGCTTGGGTCGATCCCTCTTCCCGGCTTTGGCGGCTCTCGGATCCTCGCTGGCTTGCCTCTTCACCTCCGGTTTCTCCCATGGCACGGCCGATTCCTCTGGCGTCATCGACTTGGAGTAGTACAATTTCTTTTCCTCCTTTTGTATCGGCTTCTCCGGCTCCTTCACCTCCGGCTTCACTTCCACTGGTGACGCGGGTGCCGGTGTCTTCACCTTGGGACAGGTGCACCTGGGCTTCGGATTCGGCATCACGTCCGGCACCTGTAGCCATTTGGCCTCCCTCGCGAATCTGGTGTCGTCGCTACTGTGCTTCCTTAGGTCGTGCATCGGCGTTAGCAGATACTCCGGTTTGATCGTCCACTTGTCCGTCTCCGCACTGTGATGCTTCCTGAGGTCACCGCGGCCCTGCCGTTTCTTCTCTTCCGGAACCAGACTGTGGCAGCTGCACTTTGCCTTTCTGGCGAGATCCAAGTCGGTGGTCGAGGTATGGAGCTCCCAGCGGAACTCCGTACCCTCGCTGGTGCGCCTTCTCAGATCCCAGATCGCCTCGTCGGGCGACAAGAAGCTGCTGCTGCTCCATGTCACCTCGGTGCTGCGTATCCTCAGGAAACCGCCGCGTTCCCTAGTCGTGCGGACGTCGACTTCATCGCAGCTGCAGACCCTTGTAGGCGTTCTTTGCGACTCCAGTGGTGCCGGTTCGATGGCGTCCAAGTCCTCGATCATCCATGGGATCTCCTCGCGGCGCCGCCGGCCGCACGACGGACAGAATATGTCGTCGTCGCGACTAGACCGCGGCTGCTGGCGGGGCAACGTCGGGGTCGAAGTCGAGGTCGATGCGGTGGGGTCAAGCTGCGAGAGCGGCTCCACGTCGTCGCGACGGCCATCGTCAGAGTGTCGTGACGTCGCAGCCGTGCCTGGCGATGCGCACCAGCAGGTGTGTGTAGCTCCGTCAAGCTGCCTTGGTGGGTACCGCGACTCCGGAGACGACGAGGCTCCGTTCGAGGCCGCTGCCAGACAGACTTCCGCGTTCGCTGGAACCGCAGGCCTATTCGAAATCACAGATTAGAATTCAACTTGTCAGTGAGTTCTCATTTCGCGACTTTTCTTTCAACGATTCTTTCAAGGAGACAGTTTTAAGGCCTGCGTCCACGATGCTAGAACTTGCTCCAAATTATTCTGGTTTCTTCGTCCGGTATCTTCGATAATTCTAGTTTCTTCATCCTTTATGGAATAACTGCAAGTTGATTGGCTACACATTTCTCGAAATTAGAACTTGGACCAAGGTGAACACAGGCCTTAATAGAAGGAAAACTGTCATTTCTTATTGCATATCAAATTCTTAAAGTGAAAGTATTATACCACTGCATTACGATAAATTAATAAGTTTAAGTAACAAGATGCACGTACGGTTTTCAATTCGTCTATTATGACATTTGTTATGCCAATGTTTCATTGGCATACCTTCGTATGCGAACGAAACGTTGACATACCTTCAGCTCGCTGAAGATCTCCGTGAAGAATCCGGGCTCGCTGTTGATTCGCAGCATCTCGGAGCTGAGTCGGTTGACGATCAGAAGACATCGGTCCCAGAACTTGTCCTTGCTGTCCTCGACGAGGAACGGCTTCAGCGGGTAACTGATCTCGTTACCCATGTAGCTGTAGCTCAGGTAAAGACACGTCAGTACCGTCGCCTGAAGCTCTTTCTCGGACGCCTCGTCTCCGTCGACGAGCTCCTTCACCAGCATATACACGAACACTACGTTGGCAGGGTTTATAAAGGGCACGTCCTGGCAAACAAAAGGAAGATGAGTGTGCGGTTAAAATTTTACATATTTTATTTAGCAGCCCGTATTGATCTAATTTATAAATTAAACGAAACGTGTTGGTTCTTTTATGGATAATTTTGCATTAACAGCGTTTAACGAACGATCGTTTATATTTAACTTGTCCAGCAATATTCGCTTGATTTTTAATGAAATAACTCGTACATTCATAAACGTAATTGCGTGGAAGAGTATGATTCACATCTAAAGCACATTGCTCTGTAATATCAACGGTGTATCTCAGGCAATAATGAGCGATAAAAATTAAGTTCTCGTGACGACTTGCAATTATGGAGATAGAAAGAGAACTTTTTTTTTTAATCATATGTCCACTAGATATTTGTCTAAGCCTGCATTTTAATGTTACTCAAACTGACGCAGTTTTTGAGATTAGCTGAGATGAGACTCTTTGCGTACATAACGTGCGTATTATCGTCAATGTGCAATGCTTTTACGTATGCCATTAATTGCATAGTGTCTCTTGCTGCGTTGCATAGTGCCACAAACACGTTAGATATTTCCCTATAGACTTTAGGGACACACGTCTTTTCATACACCGTTCATTTGTACGTGTGTCCCGGTATAAATACGTATAGGCATGTGTATCGAACGCGAGCGCTTTCGATACAAATATAGTCGCATAGATGTTAATTAGTGCGGATACACATATAAGGAGAATATGTCGTATAAATAGAGAATCTATTTATACTCGATAAGACCTCCGTTAGCCATGAAACATAAAAGAAAATGTGCAATTGAGTACATCTATGTATACAACTATATTATTTTTATATACACATGTATGTACATGTATGTACTTTTTTTTATGCACACATACCCGCTTATGCATGTACATATGCATGTATATGGTTGATGAAAATTTGGAAACTTTTTACGGGATAAAAGTGAAATTTTTCTGATATTGTTACTGTATCAAGAAGAGGGAAGAAATCTATGCGTATTTTATTACAAATCGCAGGCTGTTCGAATGTGCGTCTTATCTTGCTTGAGAAAATGTGCAAGTATTGCGAAAGAAGATTGCACTTTGAAAATACAGTCAATGTAAAAATTGAAAAGAGAGAGAAGTAACAATATTGGTGTTGCAAACCAGCATGTCGCGATTAATTAACAAAAATATCCAATTTCACGTTAATTAAGTAACTGCTAGGTTTATTCCATGCGCCAACTAAAATGGATATATTTATATAAACTAGATACTTAATTATTTTTGATATTAAAATGTTACATCCAAATAATTGAGCATAAAATTTTACCGAAAGAAATAAAGGAGACAATAATATTAATGAGACAAAGTTTTAATACTTGTTCAATAAAAATATAATGCAAACAACTTTAATACAAATAAATCTTTTATCAAAAGATGGCCTTTTCTAATTTAATTGTTGGATACATATCGGTCCTGATTCACGGCATTCTTGTTTATTAAAAAAAACTTGGCGCTGAAATAAACAATCTAAACTTACAATTAATTCTATTTATTCAATTTTGTATCAATTAGTTTCACAAGTCACTAGACAAACAACAAGCAGCTCGTTTATTCCAATTATTAGATACGTTATATCAAATTATTCCAATTATTAGACACGTTATATCAAGGTACAAAACCATTATTTGAACGAACCAATATTAATGCTCGAGCTTGCAAATGTAGGCACGTTAATTCGACCTGATTTTTAAATGCAATCCATGTAAAATGCCAGCCTGGCTTACATCACCGTGAATAATGCTCTCGCTTCGTAAACAGAGGTATTACACGTATTATGCGGCACGTTGGGGATAATTTAATTTTAACTATTTGAAACAAAATCAGCTAATAACGCATCGTACCACGAACAACGCTCGTGAATAACAATGGTCTCATTTGAGGGAAAAGTACGCGCCGTGTATTATAATATTGTATTATACGTCCCAAGGGGGTACCCGTGTTACGCATCAGTTGGCGGCGTGCACGCCAAGACGGGAGCGAGTATCGCATTAGCGCGCATGGATGCATCGGCTGACGGTGCAGGAGGAGCGTAGGTGCATCGATTCGTGTGAGGTGGTGCACGGCGTGGCGCGATGCGGCCGTCGCACATGTGGGTGCATTAAGCGCGGTGAGGCCGCACCGGTGACCCGGGGAGGATCGATGCCCTCGATACGTTTTCCCCGCGCGCGCGATCGGCAACCTGCTGCTGCCTTTTTTTTTCTTACTGTCCGCGCCGCACAGCCGGCCGCCCCGTTCCTCGTTAGTCTCTCGGCTTAATGCACATTACGCCGCGCGCACTCACGTTTGCAATTTGCTCACACGCCAGGATGCGTACCCCTCCTCCGGGCGGCCCTCGGCCCTGCCAGCGTCGTACGACGCTGGCAGGGCCGACGACACTTCCCGCCGACGGCGACACGCCCTCGTGCCAGCGCAGCGGAGGATAATCGGAGCAGTGCACCTCGCACAATGCGGCGGAAAGAAAAAGGGACGTGGCCTCGCGTAAACGCGCGCCAGTGATCCCTTCGATCCTGCCGCGAAATCCCGCGAGCCCGAAGGGACCCGGTTAACGCACTCGGACAGCTACTCCTTTTTAACGCGAGCGGCGAGATCCATTTGGCGAATTTCGCCTTTGTAGGTCGGCGTGACGATTCATAGTCGGTCACTCCGGCGAGTCCTTACATTTACAGTCCAACGATTATTTCCAACGCGATAAGAACGGGTTTAAGTAAATTGGTATGAAATGAACAATGATGCGGTGTAGAACCTTTTGACTTGCGTCTATTCAATTCTGATTACGAGCGATTCATATTCATTGTTATCGCAAGTGAACTGTGCCAATTAATGATTAGAATAAGGGCCTGAGCAGAATGGCTGTCTTGTATTCTTAAGACACAAGACAGTTATTGTGCGTTACTTTAGGACAAAGAGTTAAAACAACTAAATTCTAGGTCCTTTTAAGTTATAAATCAATTAGAAACGTAAAAGCCATTTAGGACCTGGCACAGGTGGAGGTAGCCAATTAGAATTAAAACATAAAACATTGTCTTAAGAGTACAAGATAGCCATTCTGCTTAGGCCCGAAGCTTGTCAGATTGCAATCCGTCGGCGTTAAATCGTTGATGTTTCAAGTAACTTTACTTTTGTCGCAGAATCTTGTGAATCTGCTTTAATTGCCGACTTCTTCCTTTCTGCCACTTAACAACTGTTCTAAATATTGAAGATTTCTGGGAGACATCTAGAAAGGTTGCACTTCTGAAGTTAAGACGGCCGATGTGTTCTAACGGACAAACTGTCGATAGTGTTGCGAATGGGAGACGGATCGCGTGACGCTATCGAGCGAAAAATTATTCATAGCGCCTATCGACGGAAATACGTTTTTATGTCTACAACTTGCGAAGTAAAGCCCGCGGTCTAGGGGCTTAATACGTCGCGTGAGCAGAAGCAGTTATTCGTAAAATTATATAGGGACACTCAAGATATCCATACTTTGTTAAGAAAAAAAAAACTATTTATCGAACTTTCCATTTTCGGCCACTTGGAAATTCTTAATTTCAACTTCCTCCTTCTCTACTGCAAAAAAAACCGATAAGAGACTGATCGAGGGATAAAAGAACGTGAGACATCGTGAAAAAAACTCATTCAAGATACCCATACTTTGTTTAAAAAAAAACTGTTTATCGAACTCTTCATTTTCGACCACTTGGAAATTCTTAATTCCAACTTCCCTCCCTCTCAACTGCAAAAGATCGGTAACAGATTGATCGAGGGACAAACGAAGAACGTGAGAAATTGTGAAAAAAAGAAACCGACTATAATGTAACGATTTTCTATAGTGTTTTTGCATTTGTCATTATTATCTCGCGTAGAGTAGACCGGGCGAGGCTTTCGCATGTCGCATGCACGATTCATTAGGATTTCCACGTGCTTCCG